ATTTATTATTAATTTTAATGAATGTTTACAGAGTCTTTTTGGATTTCCATTCATTCATTGTTACATTTACATTTTTCTCCCTGCCCACACCACCCCTAATTTTTTTTAAATTAGTTTTTTAATGTGTATACCATCAAATCAGATCTGATTGGTACAAGAGAATATTGCCCCTCCTTTTCCAGCAGAGCAGCTGGTACCTCTGGGATTGCAGTGCAGCTTCTTGCCACTAGGGACACCAGAGCTCCCTTAGGGATGGCCATTTTTTTTTTTTTTAAATTTTTTTTTGGGGGGGGAATGGCCATTTTTAAGAGCCTTTATTTCTACATATGGCACCACGGAATTGGACAATTCTTATCTGTCACATTGTCACAAACTATGGATGAGATTTTGTAGGTTTAGAAATAGAAAAGCAGTCAGTAGTTTCTTTAGCCAAAATCACATACGGTAGTAGATTAGTTTAGTGAAGTTTAACATCAAGAAGACAGAGATTCTCAACACTGGCAGCACCATGATAGATGGATAAGAGATTGAGGTTGTTGACAATGACATCAAAAGGTCTTTTGTTAAGGAGGCCTTAATAAACTAAGTATGCTGGGCAGTCCCTTTTCTTCATTACCTTAATGTAAAGGGACCTTTTATATCTTGAAAAAAATAATTCTGTAAATATAGCGTTGAGGAGTTAAGAGTTTAGGTGGTCTGTCAGCTGTCACGTTCCCCGCCCCCCCCTTATCTATCTGCTTTCCCCCTTTTCTACTGCATTCTAGAATAAACTACCTTTTTTAAATTTGTAGTTACGGGAGTGCTTAGTGATTTCCCCCCTACAATACCTTATTAATAGAAATAAATCTATCATTACTCTTTTACTCTTAGTTTTTGTGTTTTTTTTTTTAAAAAGGTCAATTTCCTAGAAGCTTCCTTTTTGCCCTGTTCACAGACACCTTACTCCAATCCCCGCCCCTCAGGCATGTAGTGGAAATGTGCCGCTGTTGGCGCTATAACGCAAACCGAACCCACAGCTCTCCAGCCATGTCCTTCTTTTGGGTTTCCAGGTTGAAAACTTTATGGCACAAAGAGAAAACTTGATGGCTGGTGGATCTGAAAGGCAGACCATTGGGTTAGCTGTCTGATTTTTCAGTGCAAAACTGACTGCAGGTGCCAAGAGCGTTGATTGTGGAACAGAGCAGGCTGAAGTTATCAACAATCTCAATCTCTTCACAGTCCACCATGCAGTGTTCCATTGTACATAAGGTTGCTACGAGTCAGAACAGAGACCACTGCTTCTAATAATAAAGACATGCAGCCATTTGCCCGGTGATAGTGTCAGTTGTTTTTATGAAAATACTTTCCCTCCCAATAATCGCAATGGTCGGTCATTGCCATAAATTGAGGTAGCAGTGATGAAGCTCTGTCCTAGGAGCCATTCTGCATTCTATCATTTCCCAATTCCATGATGACAAAATAACCCCAGTACCATTTTGCCATGAAAGATGTAAAGGATCGAACTGCCTAAGAGCTTTCCTTTAGGCCTCCAATGCATAACTGATCACAATGATGATGATCATCACAATCATCTTTATGGCATTTGAGAGTCAGAAAAACAGGAGGCACAGGACTTTTTGGTCCACCAGGGTGATCCTGACGTTTTAGGTTTTTTTTTCAGGGGAGAGCGCGAATGCAGTCCCCCACTACCACAAATTATGCAGTGGAGTTTCCCATATTTGGGAAAACCGCAGGGGTCAGCACATCCGGAGTGCAATGGATAAGCCTCGCCCTGGGAAAACCACCTTCGTGATCATGGTATCTCCCCTGCCAGGTAAGTGATCCTGGCGTTTTATTTCACACCTCGGTCAGAAAATCCGAGGGGCCAGGAGAGGAGTGAGTGGGTTTGGAGAGGCCCCGGGACAATCGTCCAGGGTTGGTCTTCGTGAATTTGGGGTGGCCAGGATCAAAGGTGAAGGGTCCTAGTGGATGGCTGGAGCGCCACGAGCGCGCGGGGCGCAGCCATTGGTGACGCACTGCGGGGAGCAGGGGCCCACGTTAGCAGCAGCGACTAGCCTCCCCAGCGCTCCCTCCCGAGTCGCCCGGCCCCGCCCCGCGCCCCGCCCACCCACGGCGGCCCCTCCTCCTCGGCCCTGAGTCTCCGCCTCCACCGGCAGCAGTCTCTTGCCGCCGCCTCCCAGGCATGGCCCAGGGCTTCTCCGCACTATGGCAGCAGCACGGCACAGCACCCTGGACTTCACGCTCGGCGGCAAAGGTAAGAGAGCGCCCCGCCACCTGCCCTGCGCGCGGGGCGAACAATGCGGGGTGGTCGCGTGCGTCCGCGGAGGCCGCGCTCCTGCCCCCCACCCCGTCGCCGCGCAGGGCCTGGACGGACCTGGGCGCCCCGGGGGCCGAGCCGCCCTTTCGGGCCCTGCTCGGCTCCGGCTGCCCCATCACACTTACCGGTTGGGGACTCCCTTCGCTGTCCACGGACTCCGCGCGCGGCGGGGGTACAGGGGCGGCAGCCGGCCGGGCCGGGGTCCGTCGGGGCGCTCGCGCGACCTCTTCCTTGGGTGGAGGCGCTAGATTACTCTCCCGAGGTGGGGACTTCCCCTCGCGGGGTGCAGGCGGTCAGGCCACCCTGCTCACCAGGCACCCTGCGTGGGGCACGGGTCCCCAGGGAAGGCAAAGGAAATGTTTATTAATACTATTGGGGGGATGGTGGGGTCTGCGCGCGAAAACTGAAAGCCCTGTTGGGGTCTGTTCTGGGTAGTGGGGTGTTGCAGTCTGTGCCCAGCAGGAGCTGGCGCCAGGGAGGGGCTTTGCGGCTTGCCATCTGGTGCATCTTCCGTGGGGGAGGGTCGGCCCTGTAATGGTCCCCCTTTAAACCTGGCATTCCTGCATATTGAAATCTGCCCGGGCCATCCAGCTAGTCATTATATTGTAAAGGACTAGCTGTGGCCTATGGGGGAACCCTTGACTTGCAAAGCGTTTGTCTTAGGCTTGGATTGCCATGGCCTCTCGTCCCTGCTGACTTGGTTTTCTGGAATTGAGCTGGAGTATTATCTGAAAGCTAATAATGTTAATAATATTGAGAGTTTGACTCTTAATTTCTTCTCTTTTTTCTGTTTGGAACCTCCTAGGATGTCCCAGTTTTCATGTTCTTCCTCTAAACTTGAAGGTTCTCTGAAGGCACATCATTTAACTAAGAAAAGACCGCAGTAATTGGAAGGGAGACCTCCTGTTTCATCAGTATCTGAACCACGTTTCCCTGATTGCTAGAAGTGAGGAGGTGGGAGTGAATATCCCAAAAGACTGGTAACAAAATGGAGTAGTTGTGAAGGGTTGTTGAGCAACTTGAGTATATTTGGAGAAAAGAAAGCATTTTTCACTTTCCATTTTTTTTTTTTTAGTGTAGAAAGTTTGGGGAGGAGGTAGGCAAGGATAAGGCATTTGCTTTGCTGCCCTTTAGGGCTCTGAGTGTTTAGTTCAGGTTTTAGTTAGGACGTTAGACTGGTTCACTTCAGTCTGACCACCTTGGGAAATTTTTACCTTTCTGTTCAGGTGATTCCTGTAAAAGAAGTGGAAGGGCAAATTCTCAGCATGTGGGAGACTTGAACTGAACCAAACCTGGTTCAAAGTCTTGGTTCTACCTTTCTTGCTCAGTTTAGAGGTGGAGAAAATAAGACTGGAGGTAAAGAGAGTGAAGAAGATGGTTTAAGGTCATTCGTCCATGAGCAGGATTCTAGAAAGTGTGTCTGTTAAGCACAATGTGCCAGTGAAGGCCATATTTTTTGAGCATAGGCTTGCATCCTAGCCACGTGGGGTTGAGGTCCAGAGCTTCTGGCACTTTCCTTAGTAACTGATGGCTGGACCCCCCCCCCATCTCTCCCCCCTTCAGCTAATAACCAGGGTGCTACCAGGGCTCCTTTGAGTTTCTGACCTGAGTATTAATCCTCCTTCAACTTAATTAAGGTGTTGCCTTCTGAAATGTTGGATCACACTGGGCTTCTCTTGTTCTTTTGTAAAAGTGGTGGGAAAGCATCACTTAACTAACTGTAGGAAGAAAATAAAGCCAAGAGAATTCACTCTGCCTCCAGCCACTGTTAACTGACATTGACCAGCAGGAGAGCAAACTGATGCACGACTTCCAAGTTCTAAGCTGGCTCCCTATTAGTGTGGAATACAGAGAGCTTTGGTTGGGAAAAAAAAAATAATAAAAGTTGAAAAGCTTGGTCTTTTAATTATCAGGCTATTAGTATTTTTAAAATTGCATCTTCCCCCCAATCCCCCAGTCTCATTAAAGATGAGAAAGGTTTGATGGCAAACTGCTCAAGAAAAATCTAGAAAGAGATAATATCCATGGCTGTGTAAGATTTTGTCTTCTTCAAGAGTGTTCAGGGAGTTAGAGAATTCTCACTTTTCTATAGTATAATCTCCCTCCCTTCATTTGGAATGAGCCATATCTGTATCCACATTTGAAAAATAAGAGGATCTGACTAGACTGGAGATACTAGAAGTTCTTTTTGGTGTTTGGGCCACTTGGTGAGAAATCCACGTGTGAGGTCTCAAAAACATTTCTTTTAATTGATATTAATGAGTCAAGGTACTACTCTTGGCATGTGAGTATTGGATGTGACTCAAGCATGAGTCAGATGCCCATGGAGCTCACATTCATGTTCTTCCCTCCCCTTCCCTCATTTGTCAGTAAGTCTTTCTAATGTTCCAGTTCCATGATGTGTTTTGGGTGGAATTGACTGGGAACCACCTAGTTATGTTACTGTGTTGCTATTTCCATATAAGTTAGTTGCCATTGCAAGGCCATTAATATATAGCAGCTACTCTGAGGACCAGTGGTGGGTTGGGCTTGATGGTCCCTGTCTGTGTTTCTGGATAGAGTAGCCCATTATTTTTCTTTTCCTTCTTTTTTTTTTTCCCCCAAGACTAAAATCCCACGTTTGGTCTCTGAGTAAAGTCAAGGACTCTTTGAACCCTGGTTATATTTTTCAGCCTGAGGGATAGCACTGCTAAAACAGGTCCTATAGGAGTCACCGTGTCCCATTGGTTTGTCTTTGAAGCGTAGTTCTGGCACAGACAGTCTAGCACTTTCTGTTTCTTTTCCTTGTGTATGCGGGTGCTATAGTTGTGGGCTGCTAACTAAAGATTTAGTAGTTCAAATCCAGAGCCAAATCTCTTATCGCTAAGATCTACAGCCCCAAAGACCATTGAGCATCACCAGATTGAGGGCAGTGGATTTGGATTTTGATATGGGTCAGAACTACTATTTCTTAAAGTTTGTGTGTGTGTGTGTGTGTGTGTGTGTGTGTGTGTGTGTGTGTGTACCATCAAATCGGGTCTGACTAGTACAGGAGGAGATTGCCCCTGTGCACCTCTGGGATTGAAGTGCAGCTTCTTTCCACTAGGCTACCAGAGCTCCATTACTACTTTTTTAATACCAGAGCGGTTAGGTTTGAGGATGCAAGCCATACTAAACATGGCCGGATTCTTACATCCAAGGACCCTTTTCCTAAGCAGGTTTGCTTCCTGTATACTTCATGTGATAAAAGTAGAAGTATCCCATAGGGTTTTCTGAGCTTTCGGGGCCTAGTCCACAGCCACCCTGGCGTTTACCTCTTCAGACTACTGGGAGGTTCAGACCAACAACCTGAGTGCGGAACCCCACTGTACCACGTGGGCCCCTTTTCCACAATTGTAGGAGTGTTAGGAAGCCAACACATATTTAGGGGACAGAGTTTATTCTATAACATTTACTTTGGACACGTCATTGGAAAAGACCTCATGTTTGATAAAGGAAACCCTTCATGAGATGAGTTGACACGGTAGCTGCAGAACGGCAGCGATGGAGCAGGGTGGTTGACACAGCATCAGACAGTGTTACAATCTCTTAGACAGAAGGTCGTCCTGAGTCGAACTGACCAGATGGCAAGTCACAATATGTGCTTTTGGCCTGTGGTCGAAATGGCAGAAAATGCTTTATTTCAATTACTGGAAATGTGAAAATTTTTTAATTTTTTTTTTATTATTTGTGTGTGTGTATGTGTACCTTCAAATTGGATCTGTTACAGGAGGAGATTGCCCCTTCTGCAGCAGAGTATCTGGTGGATTCGAACCACGTACCTCTGGGATACATTGCAACTTCTTGCCACTAGACCACCAGAGCTACCTTAGAGGTGAAAATTCTTTTACACCTGCATTGTATCCACTGGCCACATAGGTTCCATGGCCCCTCCAGATTAAGACACCACCCCTAAGCTGAAAAGGGAACTGGGATGGCAAGGGTGTGTATATTGCAGATTCCTTTTAGATGGAGTAGGTTTCCAAAATGTCTTGGAAAACATAAAGGCAGCCGTTTATTAATTGCCTCCGGTACTAATTGCCCAACTGCATTACAGGTTCTTTGAGGTAATCTTCTCAACCATCCCATGGCCAGGCCTGGGGCCTGTTCTCCCATCTGATGAGGATGAGTAAATGGGCCCATTAACTTTTGCACATTTTAAGAGATGTAGCTGGGAGTCAAAGCAGACCTCTGCTACTCCCACAATTGTTAAACCTCTTCCTTTAAATCAGATTTTATGTATGGGGAGTAGGATGTGATTTTTACCCACCAGGGGATGTCCAGTCTGTTTTCATTAATCTCCTGTTTGCATACCCTGTTAACCCCTGGTGGCTTAGTCTATAGGGAGTGACAGTACTACCCCACAGGCAGTGCTCCAAAGCAGAAAGAAAGATGGGCAATCTTCTCCTGTCCAAATTTACAGCCTCCAAGGCATTGAGCCCAGGTTGACCCTTGGAAAGTTAGTCATGGAGAAGCGGCCTCACCTTCTGCTTTGCACTGGCCTGGGTGAGGCTCAGAGGCTTGGGTAGGATTTCTCACACAGCCAAGCTAGTAGTTTGAGGAGACTCTTTCAGCTTCAATCTCCTGAACTATCACCAGACTGCCGGGTTACCAGAACTTTCTGGTGAATGCACATTGTCTCTGTTTAACATCGCTCCAAACATAGATTTATACAACCTAGACAATCCTGTTTAGATTCCATCTAGCCTTTATTGTGACTGTAATGTAAGAGCAGAAAGCTTTTCCTCCAGTAAAGCAGCACCAACCAGCTGTTACTTCAGTCTGGAAGCTTGTCTAGGGGCGAGGTTGTGTGTGTGGCAGCAATTTGACATGTTGTTGTTGTTAAGTTTAGTCTCATAGCGACCCCTTTGTACAAGAGCCCTAAATCCTGCTCTATTCTATGCCAACCTCACTGTGTC